TTTGCCGATCTCCAGATTATATCGAGAATTTGCGTTAATAGTTAAGATAGTTATTTTTTTTCTTTCTTCCGAAGTTATTACCCTAATATATTTGTAAAAATAAAAATATTTCGGGCTGAAGCCTCCCCCCCAAGATTGAATTCTGGATCCGTTAGTGCTCACGATCCAAGTATAAAGCAAATGGGTATTTACGAGTTTTTAGTACCTAATTAAATAGACAAAGTTTGTCCCCCTCCAGATTGAAAATTACCCCATTCCAAGAGTTCTCGTAAATAAAATAGTTGTAGGTAAAACTATTTACGAAGTTTCAGATGGATGTTAATAATTCTATTAAAAAAAGGGGTCTGTACCACGGACTATTTTATTTTGACTGATAAAGTTGTCATTTCAGAAAGCTTCTACCGAGATATGACTACAAGAACACATTACCTCTCTCCCTCCTATGAAACAGCTACTTAGTTACGTAAGAACTGTTATTATCCTGAGAACTGTTATTTTATTAACTGTCATCAAATAGAATTGCCAGTAAGGAAGTGGTGTGCCAACGCAGAAGTAACCGTTACACTCAGTTATCGGACAAGATTTCGGTTTCATTACGGACAGTGGAGCGAAGAGTCCCTCTGTGTTTGTCTTGTAAACTGTTCTTGGAGTTAGTTCTGTTCTTACACGAGCTTTTCTTGGCCAGTTCCTTCTCTCAACTGTGCCCGGATTGTCTTGTCTGTGGTTCTTTTCTTTCTGGAAAAGTTGAAACGAATTTACTTTACCACTTCTCCTTATGGTAATGCGAATACTAATTTGAAGGAAAAGAACCTGTTGGAAACAGAAAACTGTCCTTCAGTAGTTGAGAATCGTTACCTTGTGTTTGTTCAGCTCTACAACTCGTACAGTCTTCAAATAAGAAACCTGAGGTGAAAATAACAAATATGACACCTTTTGAAGTGAGTTGGATTGAGCCGTCAGATCTCCGATATGTAACGCTCTAGTAAAGTCGGTTCGAGTCGAGTAATTGTAGTTTTTTTGCATATGGATTAAAATATTTCAAAAATTAAAAATCGGACCTGCATATTGTCAGCCAGCGAAATGTTCATCATTTCATCCTCTTTGTAATGAGCTATTATTCAAAATTGTATCGACGCTGTGTTAGTGAGTCAAAAAAGGAAAAAATAGTGTAGAAAACCAAATTATAACGAGCTTTATTGGAGATATATTAAAATATCTCACAAACTAAAAATCGGACCTTCATACTGTAAGCGAGGGAAATGTTCAGTATTTCATCCTCTTTGTAATGAGCTATTATTTATAATGTATATTTCATATTATTAAATTCGTCTTGTTGATGTTTTCAATGAGCCGTTAGATCTCCGATGTAACGCTCGGGTAAAGTCGGCTGAAGTCGACTAATTGAAGTTATTTGCGTACGAATTAAAATATCTCAAAAATTAAAAATCGGACCTACATATTGTTAGCTAGATAATGTTCATTATTTCATCCTCTTTGTAATGAGCTATTATTCAAAATTGTATCGACGCTGTGTTAGTGAGTCTAAAAAGGAAAAAAATAGTGTAGAAAACCAAATTATAACGAGCTTTATTGGATATATTAAAATATCTCACAAACTAAAAATCGGACCTTCATACTGTAAGCGAAGGAAATGTTCAGTATTTCATCCTCTTTGTAATGAGCTATTATTTATAATGTATATTTCATATTATTAAATTCGTCTTGTTGATGTTTTCAATGAGCCGTTAGATCTCCGATGTGTAACGCTCGGATAAAGTCGGCTGGAGTCGACTAATTGAAGTTATTTGCATATGGATTAAAATATCTCAAAAATTAAAAATCGGACCTGCATATTGTCAGCCAGCGAAATGTTCATCAATGTTTAAAGAAGTGGAGAAACTAGAACTCTTTTTGATTAATTAATTGACTCTACAATCTCCTCTCCTCATCATAAATGAAAATGAAACACTTAACAAATTTTAATGGATTGGTGGTGGTCGGTTTAGTTGTATGCTACCTAAACAAATAGCCGAATAACAAAGTTTTTGTTATGACTATTGCGAAACCTTGGCTTCAATAAGCCATAAAAAGATTTAAAAAAAAAAAAAACCCTCCTCCTTACCGACCTAATTTTATGACATTGAATTTGGACCCTCCTTCCATAATATAAATTCCATCCCAAAAAAAAGATTCTCAAATTTTGACTATACACCTGTAAACGATGGGCACATCAGCTAGTTAAAAATATGACAAGAAACAATCATTTTGTAGAATTCTAGGAATTAATATGTGGATAATTGTTATCATTTTGTAGTACAGACATAACCTAACCTTGTTATTCAACTTTAACTACCAGAAAAAATGGCAAGCATTAATTAAATAAGAAACTCCACCATCAAATCTATTGCTTGCGATACAAATAAAAACAATTAAATTTAAGGCTGACATTTTTATTTAAAATTATATCAAACTAGGACGCTAAATTGATAAGATTCGGCCGCGACGGTGAGCAGTTTCGGCGAAACGCATGGAACGGTTGGCAGCGTGAAATAGCAGTTACTGCCATGGGCAGTTCCAGCGAAATATTACCTTTACACTGGAATTTAGATCGTGCGATGGGCCTAGAATAAGTTATTAGTAAAGTTTGCGATAATACCGATCGGGCCTTCCGTAATCGTATTCCGCGGCTGTCCTCGGATAACTTGGCTATCTACGATCCTCCTATCTCTGTTTACTGCGCCCCCTCCCATCCGTAGCCGGGGATTGGAAACGGTCAGTAAAAATCTAAATCAATATTTTATTGCTGCTGGAGCTGGAGAAACGATTTGATGACCTATTGACCTTATGCTACCATTGATTTTGTGTCGAACCCCAGGCAGTATTGCATTTCAGGCTCATTCCTCGCTTTTATATCGCTAAATAAATTCACTATATATACCTGGTTACTCATAAAACCTTATTTAGTTTCCTTCCTTTCAATAGAATATTTTAATCGAATTAGGTACTTTCTTTTGCTTATTCAATTTAAGAATATAATATTTAATAATGTTTTAGATTAGTTTTCTATATCATCTCGTCGCCTCGCTATAAAAATTTAATTTAATTTAAAATTTATTTTAGAATAGAAAAGAATAACAAAAAAGTACAAAATTAAAGTATTATATCTGGCCTAAGTAAAAACAAACATAAAAAGCAAAAGTAAAGAAAATATTACTTAAACATACTATGTACAAAATAAAAAAAAATCTATATACAAAACACTTGAAACTATGCCAAGACACTTAAAGCTATGTACAGTGGTAAAACATAAGTATACAGTTTAAAATAAATAAATAAAAAATACATTACATTCTTCATAGCAATAGCAATAAATCTCGGTGTTTCTGAAGAAAAACAAAAAAGAAAGAAAAAGAAGGCGAATCTGATAGTAAGTATTTAAGTCATGAATTATATGTAAATATGTGAATCATTTCGAATAATACTTAAATTTACATAACAGGTTAGCTGGGGGTGTCTGACTGTTTTGGGGATAGAAATTGGAATAGGAAGGTTTTAAATGTAGATAGGGAGGGAGAATGCCGAATTTTGATAGGAAGGGAATTCCAGAAATTAACAGAGCGAGCAATAAACGAGTTTTGGAACGAGGCAGATCTGTGAGAAGGAATGTAAAGGTCGGAAGGTCGAGATCTTGTGGAAAGGGAGTGGACTGAGGACTTGAATTGGAGAAGGTTGTAGGCGTAAGAAGGACGATGATTGTTGATGATATGATAGAGGAATGTACCTAGGAAATATTGTCTTCGAATGGAGGGGAAGAGCCACTCTAACTCAGTGTAGTGGTGAGAGACATGGTAGTATCTCGGGGCACCGATTACAAATCTTAAGCAGCTGTTCATTAATTTTTTCAGTCTATCGTGGAGCTCCACCGAGAGGCGATCATACACCACACAGCTATAGTCAAAGTGAGGGGAGATAAGAGAGGAAACTAGGAGTCTACGCGTATGTTAGGTTTTATAAAGACATATTTATAAATAAAGCAGAGGGAATATTTTTTATTTTTTTTTGGAATTTGAAAGACCTTAATCGTCGTTATCGGTTCATCATATAGAGGATTTTTCAGGGTTAAATGGCCAAACTGCAAAAATGAACTAAGGGCCTCAAATCAAGAAAATATTTTCTCTGAAGACACGTCCGCAAACGCTTTATTTATGAAATATTCACACCTAAGATTTTCGCTGTTATTAATTATTTAAGTTATATGGAATAAATAAAATATATTTATTTCTTCTTACTACTTTAATAATTAAATGTGAACATTAACATTTATATTAAATGGTGTTCAAAATGAAGGTATGTCCACAAACGCTTTGTTTAGGAGTTACAAACACGATATGGTGTTTGTATACGCTTTTTGCAATGAAAATGCAAGTGATTTCCAAATAGAAGATTACCAAACAAGTCTATCTTTAGCTCCACGTTTTAACCTCTTAGAGAAACTGGTGCATTTGATATAATACCACGTGCTGATGGTATTTTTGCTCTTTCACTTTGTCAACAAAAGCCCAAATCACTTTGAACAACTTTTAATATGAATTTAATGTTTACGTTCAATTAATAAAGTAGTTAGAACAAATAAATAAGTTTTATTGACTTTAATATAATATAAATAATTCATAATAATAAAAATCTTTAGGTGTGAATATCTCCTAAAGAAAGCGTTTGCGGACATACCTTCAGACGAAATTTTATTATTGTTTTGAGGTCCTTAATTCATATTCTCAGTTTGGCCACTTTACCCTGAAACAACCTATATTAAAAAGTCATATATTACAATAAGGTAAAACTATTCCTGTAAGGATAATAAGATTATATGGGAGAGATTAGAGTCCATATGCAATACAAGAGAAATTATGTTTATTTGAAATAAATATTGGTTGATAAACATTCTTTAGGGTTGAATTGTTTATTGTAACATATTACTTACAGTTAATTTTCTGTTCAGTGGTGTCAGTGGTTTTGCAGAATTGCCACTGAGACTCCCTCTCTCTCCCTCCCACCACGGAAGACAGAGATAGAAGAGCATTGCAAGCCACCGGTTGCAGAACATAGATCAGCCGAAACGTTGCGGTTGGCAGAGAGTTGGTAATGGATGTTCCCGCAGTTGCAGATTTATGCTAAAATAAAAGCGGCCGGTTTCCAATCAATAAGCCCTCTCTCTCTCCGCTAGCTCCGATATTTCTTCCTTTTACAATATAATATATTTCCAGAACGGCCTTATGCTCCACTTACGTCAATTCTCATTCTCGTATAAGGATAATTTACTGATTAATTTTATATACAGCTGTGCCACGCGGTTTACTCACAGTAAATCATCATCGAATCATATTGTTTTCAAACGCTTGGTAAAGTCACACGCACGGTAACAAAATACTATCCGTTTTTATGTGGAAAAACTAAAGGACCAATAATCAATTAACTAATTAGAGCGTGCTTCTTGTCCAGCAATATATATGATGTACATAAGCAGGAGTTAACACTCCTGGATGGTTACATAGCACATGCAAAATTAAAAAAAAAGAAGAGATATCGAAGGAGGTCAGTCGACAGTCCTACATATCATGGCTGATAAATATTCAGGACGCAGTCTTTTTTCTTTTTTTTTTTTTTTTTTATGCCAACGTTTCAACCCACACATGTGGGTCATCTTCAGGCCGTGGTTTGAGCATTGAGGGTGTTCAAGTACTCAAGTACTGAATACCGTCAGTGCTCAAACCACGCCCTGAAGATGACCCGCATGTTTGGGTTGAAACGTTGGCAAAAATTAAAAACTTTTTTTAAAAAAGACTGCGTCCTGAATATTTATAACACAAAAAAAAATGTGCATTTACCTAATAAATTTTGAATATCAAAACAAAATATCTGGTGTGTCCACTCAGACGACTTTCCTACTTATTTCAGAAAAGTTTTTATATCTTTACATATGTTCATCAAGAAACAAAAAAAATTGAACTAGATTTATTTTCCTGAAAATTGATCAAAGAAAAGATTTGAGTACGATTTATTTGATAAACTAAAGCAATGTAAACCGGCTTAAGGTAGATCAGTGTAAACATTTCAATACTCTCTAATATTGCTGATCAAAAACTTTTTGCCATAGCTTAGTATTGTCAAACAATAATTTCTGTTAAAAGTAGAGGAAATAGTGAAGCTTGTGTGATGCGGGCAACAGATTTTCTTACTTTCACTTAGTCATCTTTTTTCTCTCATTCACCCCTTTCTGACACCAGGATATGAACCCGTAATCTTACATTGGAAATTGAATAGCTGTAACTTCGTTATTAGTTGTCCGAAATGAACGATTTTTATATAGTTTTGTAGGGAATTTTATTACCAAAAAAACATACTAGGAAGTTTCATCAAAATCGTTAGAGCCGTTTTCGCGCTACAGTTTATAGAAAAACATGTTTTCCATTTATTGCGCGCAAGCTATTGCGCATGGAGCACCAAATTTCTGTCACAGGCAAAAGTAGTCAAAACCCTACAAAATAAAAAAAGGAGCAACAAAATCGATTCACTGGTTCCCGAGAAAATCTTAGAAAGCACAGGCTAAAAATGTGTTTTTCGGACTCAGGGAGAAATTTGACACCATTGCAATACTTTCCTTACCTAGTATAGGTAGGAAAGTAAAAAAGTAAACTGAATATAAATAGGAATGCAGTAGTGAATCTAGGATTTCATTTTTGGAAGAGGGGGCTTCAGTCCGAAAGTTTTTTTCTCAAATATATAATAATCATTACTTTGGAAAATAAATAAACTACCTACATATATGAGTGTTCAAGTGATTCTTGAAGTCTTATTAAATGTAATTATACGGTCAATAATACTTTAAGAGATAATATTTTAATATTTTTTACCATAAAATATGGTTGCATTTTACCATTTTGGAGGAGGGGAAGGGGAGTTCAATCCGAAAGCCTTTTTCGTTAATCCGCCTGTGTAGGTATGTAAAGTTAATAGAGAAATAACATTCCTAAGATTATAATGAGGTTACATTGAATGCAATCTATGGGTTTCATTGGTGAGCTTAGCACTGACTTCAGAAGCTTACCCCTATTAGTTAAGTTAAGAAAAGATATTCAAGGAGAGATTCACTCGTATAGCTAGACATATCAGGTATTTTAATTAGCTTGATCCAATCCAGTCTGGAGGTTTTCCAAACATTCTCTGATCTATTTTATGTTATATTTACTTTTGGAAAGAAAAAAATGCTTAACATATTTTTTTTTTTTCATTTTCAGTTCTTCGTGAAGAATTCCGAGCGGAGCCCCAGAACCTGAGGGTGGCTCAGGGCGAAACTGCGCTACTGGAGTGTGGTCCGCCCAGAGGTCATCCGGAACCAGTAGTCTTCTGGAAGAGGAACGGCCACATCCTGGATCTGGAAAACAACAAAAGGTAACTTTTAGTCTTTGTCACTATTGGTTAAAAATGGAAACGGTTTAGATCCTTATATTTTTTATTTGGAAAACAGATGAAAAATCGATATATATATATATATATATATATATATATATTATATATATATATATATATATATTATATAATATATCGATCGAGTTTTTTTTAATAACTTATCTAACTATAGTATATATATATATATACTATAGTTAGATAAGTTATAAAAAAAATCCTCTGTTTCTTCATCAACGGTTAATATATATATATATATAACATTATATATATATATATATAATATATATATATATATATAATATATATATATATATATATATATATATATTATATATATATATAATGACCAAAAAAAAGGATAAATAACAAGATAATAAAATAATATCGAAATTTTTACTTGTTGGGCGCCTGGCTTTACCAGCCTTTCATCTCTAAAGAGATAAATCTAGAAAATATAACGTTCTTAGCCATTATTTGGCCATCATTAAATATTTACTCTACCATGCTAGCTGAGGTAAGAAGGGATTAGGTTGGATATTTTTAAAAAGCAGCAAAAAAAGGTTAAGATATCTATTTACAGAATGAATATTACAAGCAAAAGAAATAAAATAAAATGAAAAACAGAAAATTTAAACATAATTACTATATATAATTAAACATAAATAGGAACATACTTAAGATAATAAAAATAACAAAAAAGATACTTATTTTGTATGCAATAGTACATCATGCCACATATAAACATCAAGAAATCATACTCAAGATTTAAGATATAAGAGCACATGCACATACTAAAAAAAAAAAAAATTAATAATTAGTCACAGGAAACAAAAGAGAGAAGAGTTCTATTTTTTTTTTCAATGGTTCCTTAATCTTGGTTGTAATATAATTGTAATATATTGAACATGTTAACAGCAAAATAAAGTTTGATATCAATTACGAAAAAATATATAAGCTCACAACTTTTGGATAGTTCTTGTAAATGAAAAAAAAAAATGGAGAAAGCTGTAAAGCATCTTAATTTTTTTTTTTGGGGGGAAGAGGGGAGTTTCAGCCCTAAAACTTTATGTACATATATATATATATATTATTTTTATATAACGATAATAACTTAGGAAGAAAAAGAAAGAAACTAACTACCTGTATAAAATGATGTCTTAGTTATTCTTGAGGGCCAATAATAATTTCTATAATAATAATAATTTAATTGTTATATAATAATTTCTTATTTAATTTGTCTTTCTTTATATATATATATATATATATATATATATATATATTACTTCCCCCCTCCCCTTATTTTATTTATTTATTCTTTATTGTTATTACTCTCTTACTCATTATTTTATTATTATTTTATACATCTATAGTTTTTTTTGTTTATAATTTTTACTTTTTTTTTTCTCATTAAACCTATCAGGTAAATATCTTATATAGGTGCTGATAACTCAGATGTTTTGCGCCTATAGTACCAAAACAACTAACCAACCAATCTTCAGGGCCAATTAAAAAAAAATATAAGAACAATAATATTTTTAGAGATTATTTTTTCATAATATATGGTTATATTTAGTATAGCTGAATACGCGTTATAATTTTAAAAAATTGAACTTCGTTGAAATATTTAGCTTAGATCAGGCAGAGTAACAAATATGGACGGATGAGAATCCTTTTTACAGGGGCTTTACTCCGAAAGCTTCTCCGTAAATCCGCCAGTGGGAAGAGGTGAATAGATCTAAATACGTGGCACCACAGCTAACCTAAAATGGACTTTGTGGAAAGTTCTTCAATGCTGTCAAAAGTTTCTTCATCAATAGGAGGGAGGTGTCTACGAGAACAAAGGTGGAGATATACAAAAGCACCTTTATCCCGACTCTTACGAATCTTGGACGGAACACAGGAGTCTACTGCAGAGTTCAGAGATGACATTTCTTCGAAGAATAGAAGGTAAAACAGAATTAGAATCTCAACAATAAGAACTAACCTCGAAAACTTTGCAAACTATAGTTTAGAAGAATCAAACGTTGTGGTATAGCCATGTCATTAGAATGAGTGGAAGCGGGATAGTCAGAGCAACCCATGAGACTCAGGCAGATGGAGGTAAACAGAGTGGAAGGCCAAGAAGATGATGGGAGTATATCATGAAAGAATCTTTTTTAAGTTGAAAGAGTACAATTGTCATAGGAGTGACAAGTATAAGTTTCTTCAGAAGAACCCACACATTCCAGAGTTGTGAGGAGAACTCCTTAAACATGGGATATAGCTCCTGGTTTTTCTTCCTTTTCCAATCTCCTCCCACGACAATACCACCTTAGATACGACTGAGGATTCCTCTTTCAAAGACCAGGAGTCCCTGTTAACAAGCCCAGGAAGTAGTCCAAGTCTCACAGCCATACAAGACTGGACGCACAATCGTCTTATAAAGACTTTGCTCTTCTGGAGAGAACTGTACACTTTCAAAATCGAAATTTAAATTTGTGAATGGAATACCATATAGTGTGATATTTCATTCATTAAAATCCTCCTGTTCCGAAGGGCAGAAAAATGGATCTATACTAACTAGTGTATTATATATAGTGTTGATTTTACCCCATATATGATATAGTTTTTCATTTAAAATAACCATTCAATACCGATTTTTATGTATGTATTTATAATTTTATGAATGAATAATACTTTTGTTTCTCCCTAGGATGAGGCTAGTTGACGGCGGGAACTTGGCCATTCAAGACGTGCGTTCCAGCGACGACGGCAAATACCAATGCATAGCTAAGAACACAGTTGGAGTCCGCGAATCCAATGTGGCGCTACTACGAGTGCATGGTGAGTTAATTATTATTATTTATAAACAACACAATTTATAATTCTATTTATTCATTTTACAATTCTCTCTATTTACTCATTTCTATTACAATTTCACAATTCTCAAGAACAGGGCTTGAAATAAATACAGATAAGACAAAATATATGGTTAACTGCAAAAATGGCGATATTGCCGATGATATTATTATAGATGGTAATATGTTTGAACATGTAGAGTTCAGTATCTAAGGTCTACGATAACTAGAAAAAACGAAATTGAAGAAGAGATTAAGGTAAGGCTGAAGGCGGGAAATGCTTGTTATTTTTCTGTGACTAAGTGGTTTTGTCAGTTTTGCTCGTGCCTCTCGTCTCTGAACTCGGAACTTGGAAAACTAGAAGCTATAAAACCATTATCCTACCTACAGTTCTTTATGGTTGCGAAACGTGGCCGCTTACATTAAGAGATGAGCAACGTCTTAAGGTTTTTGAATATTAAGTATTGTGTAGAATATTCGGACCGAAGAAGGATGAGTTAACCGAAGACTTCAGACGGCTACACAACGCCGAATTCCGTGCACTGTATCCGGTTAATATAATTAAGATTATTACATCACGGCGAATCAAATGGACTTGTAAAATTGTTGGGCTTAGTAACTTAGAAATTCCTAAAAAGTTATTATTTGCTGTACCGAAAAGTAAACGTCCAAGGGGTAGACCGAAGCAAAGGGGAGATTGCGTTAAAGCCGATCTGAGGAGACTGGGTTTGGACGGTGAACTGTGGAGGGAGGTGTTTAATAAGTGATTAGTGGTGTCTGTATCGAACCTTTGGGTTCACTAAGCCTTTTATTATTATTATTAATAATAATTCTCGGTTCCTAAGAGTTGTGACTGTCAGCCGTATGCGCAAAACGATCTTTTAGAACTGTATTTCTCGTGTGTTCGAAAATTTTCTGAAGGAACGTAATTTAGAAAAAACACACCGATTTTTCAATTTATCAATAATTTAATCAATGAAAAGGACAGAGATATGAATTTTTTTATATATGTTAACGCAAAAACGGCTTTAACAACAAACTTCCCTATAATCATCTACACAAAGACCTTTCAATTTTCTTACTTGTAGTGAATTCCTGAGAAAATTGAGGAAAAAAGTTTATAAAGAAAAATATTTTAGGTTTTCTTCACTAATAATAAAAATGTTGTCTCCAACTATTTTATTATACAAATCACAATGTTTTCCTAGTTTTTAGTTAGTTTATCACCCGTGCTTCATACATAGTATACATTCTTAGGTAAAATTTTTATATAATCGTTTAAAGGCATATTTTATGAGAGGTTATCGAATTTCTTACAAAACTTAAAAATCGTCTAAATTAGACCGGTTTTAACAAAGTTACTGTGTACTAATTTTTTTAAGCTAATTTTATTGATAGTTAACGTTTCCATGTTTTTATTTGTAATATTAAAGTAATATCCTTATTTTTTTTTCTTATATAAAATAGAGTATAAATTAAATTTCAAGAAAGGTAGATTAATGTTTTAAGACACAATAGGTGATTTTTTTCCGGAAATGACTGGCTTTCATATTTTATAAAAGCTCTGCTTTGATGACACCTTTAATTAATCAAAAGTTTTAGGTTACTTTCTTCGGGTGAGGAGGGGGGGAGGGAGGGTGGTATTCATCAAGGCTTTTTGTTTTATATTTTTTTTAAAGAGGGGGCTCTCGATCACTGAATAGTTTATTTTTTAATTCTAATTATTGCTGAATATTATTTTTTTAATTTAAAAAAAAACTGCTGGTTCCTTGGAAAAATATCGGTTATTCTTAGAAATACAATGAATTTTGGTTCCTTTGGTAATTCATTATGATTTGGTACACGAAGACATTTAAACGTCTTAGAATTCGTAAAGTCTGTGTTAAAAATCCAGTTTATTCGGGAAAAAGAAGAGGGATTTTCTCGCTCTTGAACTCTCTGAATCATGTTAGTTTACATTGGATTGGAAATCCTTTATTTTTATTCAGATCATTGCTATGATCCTGCATTGGGTCAGGATAGGAGTACCTCGGTCTGGGAGCGCGAGTGCCTGTCTCATTACTAACTATACCCACGTTACTGGGAACCCGTATAAAACAAACCGATTTACCTAAATTTTCCAGAGTGTGAAGATATTTGTGTATTTTATGGATAACTGGATGTTTTGAGTACATATCATTTAAACCATTTAATGAACTCAAGGAGTCTGTTATGAAGACCGTCGAAGCTGGAGTTATTAACATACAGAAAGCTGAGGCTATTGCGTGAAGTTCCGCTGTGTATATGCTGTTTAGTTTATGTAGTTTTATTTTACGCGTGGAGTTATGGGTAACTGTTGCATCATCGGATTTCGAATCATCAGACTTACGAAGTTTTAGGTGGATGTTAATAATTTTATAAAACGGGAAACTGTACATGGATTATAATATATTGTACTGACATAGCAGAAATATTACACCATGTAACATGCAGGAAACTTTCCCACATAATGAGTCTCATTTAGCAAATAAGAGAGGAAAAAATATTGATTATTATTGAATAAAATTGTTAATTGGAACGTGGACAGAATTAAATTACGCAATTAAAGGGATTTTTTCCTCCACAGACTGGCTGAGTAAGCACCTCTTCACATAATGAGGATTTGAACGAAATGGAAATAAAGGTTAATAGAGGAAGCTTTGACCCGGCGAAGAGCTATTAGCGGGTGAACATCCCTTTGAAAGAGTTGATAACTCGGGATGAAATGATGGCACAGCTACGGTGGAATGTATTTTAGATGATCACTGTACGGTGGACTGTATTTTAGTCAGGGGGATGAGATCAGTATGCAAGCCCTGTCCTATTATGCCAAGTTGATGCAGTCCGTTCCAACCCACCGTTTGACCCTCCATGATCCTCATGATTTATGTCGCCATTCACGATGAGGGTTCTAATCTCTCTTCATCATTCTCAGTTCTATTTCCATTGAATCGTCATTTTTATTATCTCTCTCTCTCTTGCAAATGAGCATAGCCGTAAATATCGCTATGGCAACCAAAGCACAATAACTCAATTAAATCTAAATGGCGTCGCATAACTTTAATTGAAAAATATCTGGTGTGTCCACTCACACGACTTTCCTACCTATTTCAGAAAAGTTTTTATATCTTTACATATGTTCATTTTCCTGAAATGTTATCAAAGAAAAGACTTGAGTACGATTTATTTGATAAACTAAAGTAATGTAAACCGGCTTAAGATAGATCGGTGTAAAAATTTCAATACTTCCTAATATTGCTGATCAAAAACTTTTTGCCATAGTTTAGTATTGTCAAACAATAATTTCTGTTAAAAGTAGCGGAAATAGTGAAGATTGTGTGATGCGGGCAACAGATTTTCTTACTTTCACTTAGTCATCTTTATTCTTTCATTCACCCCTTTCTGACACGAGGATATGAAACCATAATCTTACATTAGAAATTGAATAGCTCTAACTTCGTTAATAGTTGTCCAAAATAAACGGTTTTTATATGGCTTTGTAGGGAATTTCATTACCTTTCAAACGATAGGCCAAACGTCGTTTTTTCGGGGGCTGTGAAACGTATAGATCCGTCGAAAACTGCATGTCGGAAATTCGACCCGATTGCAATACTTTCCTTACCTAGTATAGGTAGGAAAGTAAAAATGAATAGTCCGCGGTACTGATTCCTTTTTATCAAATTATTTTCATCTGTTAACACTTCGCGCATGGCTTCATGTTATCGTAAAGTTACGGAATGGACTTAATCCTTAACATATAATAATATTAATTTAACCTTCATTCTAATAATTTAGTTTGCTAAATATTTCTATAAATAATATTGCTCATCATGTATTGCATTAATAATTTCTATAACTCAAAGGATAAAAGGACAAAGCTATCCCTTAGGAATCTACGATAGTCAATAGTTTTCCACTATCGATTGTTCGATAGTATCGACAAAAAACTATCGATAGTTTAGTAACTTCCCAGCACAAACTTATAGAGTTGTTTTCGCTGCATTCTTTGGTTATTTACTTTAAAATGCTGCATAAACTTTATAATGAATAACATTTATATTGGATACATACTTAAAGATTTATGTTAAGGCACTAATAAAAGTTATTAATTAAAAAATAATATCGGGAAAATACATTTATATAGAAAAATAGATTGAATTTATTTCCCTGATTGTAGAATTCAAACAAAAAACATCAACGATATTTAGGTAGTATTTTTTAAACTATTTAATAAAAAAAAAAGTTTCCGAGAAATGGTTTTGTCTTCTAATTTCCAAGATTCTAATTTTCTAAATTTATTTTGATAATAGCACTTACTTTAAAATATAATAAAACTGAAATGGAATTCTTGTAGATTTTATGAATATATTTTTTTATGAAAAAATAAATAAAAAAGGTGAAGTAAATGTAACATTTTTTTTTTCATCTGCACAACTGGAGATGTAAAAATATTTCTAATAAAGTAATTTTAGATTAAATTAAATTAATGTTTTATCATGAAGGCCTCTTCTTGTTCAATTTTATATATTTGTAACAATAGCTTTAAGCATGCTTTCAAACCTCCATCCATTTATTTTCTTAATGTGGCGTTTTCATTATACAATAAACGTTTTCCATAATCAAATATTTAACTTTTATATTATTATATTATCACTATATCTTGTACATCAATGAATGGGTAGAAGTATGAAGGCGTGTTATTAAAATTATTTTTTTAAGTTTTGAAATAATTTGTTCAAAGGAGAGGATACGAACTATCATAGTCACTAGGGATATCGACTATCACCAATCCCTACACATTATCAAGACTTAAGGAACAATAACAGATTTCAGCTAAACGCCCTTTCTCACACACCTCATATCAATACTGAAGGATAAAAATATCAATTCTCAACAGTTCAGAGCTCCAGCCCATTATCTTCGACATCTTAAGAATATCAATTATCGATAACTTCATTTGAAGCTCTTTCCCAGGCTCCTTTCTTCATTTCTTCACCCCCCTACTATTCCTGGGTATATTACCCCCATGGTCTTCAGAACAAATCACTCTTGCAGTTACATTCTTGAACTCACAATCTTACAGTAGACCTCGAGTGAACTCTTGTAGTCAACCCATATATTCATAGTATTATCCTGTATTTCAAGATGCTATTTGTAATAGATATTTTGAATAAAAGTATTACTTATAAAATCATCACTGCCTCTGAAGTGTAACATACAACTTTATTATCTATGAAAATATTCAGAAATAGGACGCCTTCTTATTAAATTAATTAATTTAATGAGGTACTAAAAACCCATGAATACCCATGGGTATAGATGGATTTTATCACAAAATTGAGACAAAAAGGCGGCCTAAAAAAATATTAGGCCATATGTAACCTCATTATTTTGAAATATTGGGAGTGAATGTCATGTCAAACGACACAATATCTTTGTACACCATCTTTTTTCTCGATTTTGTGATCAAATTATCTTATGATTCAAGTGAAAAGAAAATGGATGTTCATGAATTGTTAGCACATCATTAAATTAACAATGTTTACCAATTTCCAGATTGAAAACGATCCATTTTCAAGAATTTTTGTAAATAAAAATCTCGTATCGTTTCTATGTAATAAAACAGTTCACAAAGTTTTAGATGGATATTTTGATGAAAAGGGGTCTGTACTACTTTAGTGGACAGACCATCCTGTTCTACCATAAGACTAGCTGATGGCAGATTTCTTGATGTAGTCCTGTATTAATTATCTAAAATCATTACATATTTATTTCCAAATTACGATACGAGTTTTGAGATTATTTTCTTAAGTATATTATTGTTTTTCAGTGAAACCTTATATTGTGGAGGGTCCTGAAGATGCCACAGCGATGGCTGGTACTAGTGTGGTATTCTCTTGTCGAGTTGAGGGCGATCCACCTCCAGATGTGATGTGGAGGAGAACAGCAGGAGGTGGCCCGATGCCCCTAGCCAGGGTTCACACCCTCGAGGATAAGAGTCTGAAGTTGGAGACGGTCAGTCCAGAGGATGAAGGGGAGTATAGCTGTGTTGCTGATAATGGAGTCGGTACAGTCACGGCTTCAGCGACTCTTACCGTTCACTGTAAGTAAATTTACTTTCATTATGTATTTTATAATTATTTTTAATAATAATAATCAGGATCCTCAATGATAATAATATAAGCTCCATTGTCAGAGAAAATATCAGTAACTGGCAATAGAATTGAAGGAATTATATTATTTGGGGAGCATCACGACCTCTCCAATTATATCCTCCAATGGACTGATACCAAAGTCAACAGTGGCAGGCACGATTGGTTTAAAATTACCTGTTGATGTGCTGAAAGAAGCTCTACACTCAGTTCTGTTAGACACAGCACGTATTGTCAGAAAATGTTTAAAAATCTAAAAAAATAATAAATAATAATATGAAGGTGTCTGGACTTCTGGTCTCCCACCTCAGAAACTCACCCCACAAAGCGAGAATAAAAAATAGAAATAATAATATATAGGTATATAAATCGATATATATAGTTTATAGAGGTATATAAATCGAAAATTAAAAATTTTAAATTAAGTATAGCAGTCTATTTTTAATTTATAATTATGTATTATAATTTTTAGAAACGCAAAACGACATTCTTTGAAATAAAAGAATGAATTAGGACGAGTCATATCGTAATGACAAATTTTAAAAATTTTATGGCGTGGTGCATGGTAGGTGAATGATACAAGTTTATTGTCTGAGGCTATACTTGAATGGTAAAAAGTAAATTAAAATTTAGTTTGCAGGTTCTTGAAAATGGCTCCTGAAGCCGAAACGTTGGAATAAACATACATGTAATATATAAAAAAAACTGTTTTTTTTTTTTTTTTGGTGACCTATGGCCTATAATAGACATATGTTAGATTATGAGAAAATGGCACCAAACCCGAAGGATGGGACTAGAAAAATAATATATATTAATTTTTTTTTTTTTATTCAAGGTTATTTTTTTTTTCTCTATTAGTCTCATTACTGATTTGACATAATATAATAATATATATATTAGTTTGTATTTTTATTAAAACATTATAATCATTTTGACATTAATCTCTTTCAGCACCACCTGTAATAGTGACACGCCCTACAGATCAAGTAGTAGAAGCCAGCGATGACGCAGCCTTTGTCTGCGGTGTAGAGGGTAATCCTCGTCCGTCTGTGTTCTGGTCGGTCGAAGGAAATAGAACTCTCCTCTATCCTGGGGAGCAGATGGGACGCCTTTATGCATCCGTCACTCCAGATGGTCAATCTGTCTTAACATTGCAGGTACGTCATTGTTTTTTGGCTTGAACGATGGGATGTCATTTTAAGATGTTTTAAATAAATCAAAAATAAAATTTAAACAATTATCTTTCAAAATTAGCTTTAATAGAACAACACATTAAAAACCTTTGTTCTATCAAAATGAAGATAAACCTCATATGTTTAATTTTAGATTTTGAAAAGTTATAGGAATAATAAGTCCTGTAGGACTACTCTAGATGAGAAAGACGCTAATGTCCTATAAAGTATTCATTCAAGGCTTATTTTAACATTAAAACAATGTAATAAATGAAAAATAGTAAATCCTAGCTGGAAACCTACTCTTTTTCCTAATGCATTCAATGTATAAGTGATATCAAGAAAATATGTTTATTCGTCTACAAATTATATTATCAAAATACTCAACACATACAATCGGTGAAACTTCATACTTTACTATGACCTTTTAAGTTATAATTTACTTTAAAGTAGGTTGTCCCACTGGGAAATATTCCAGTTTAATAGTTAACAAGGAGAGTGGGGTAGCTCAGTGGTAGGGCACTGAGCTTCCAATGCTTAAAGGTCCAAGGTTCGAACCCCGGCTCATGTCAGAAAATGTATTTATCTGTTTCATTGGCCATGGGGCGACCCTGGATCGGGAGACCCTCCTGGGGCACCCAGCCTCTATAAAGTGGGTATCCTTAATTAAATAATTAATTAAGGGAGAAAACCTGGCGGTTGAGCATGATCTCGGTCACATCACCTCCTTGCACAACCGTTGACCTAGAAACAGTGCTTTTCCTAAATAATACTGAGCTCCCTGAAGCCATACCTGGATATATTTTTTTATTTATTAAATATATCAAAAAGTTTCTTTGCATATTATCAGAGGTGATCGAGAAATCATAAAACTATTCTTCTCTATTTACCCTATCTCGATCCATCGACTTTTGAAACCATCTGAATTTTCAAACCTCCCAATTTTTTTAATGATTTTTATTTTAGTTTTAGTTAGGATTTAAGTTTTGAAATTGAATTTTCCATTCTCTTTTGTTTGATACCTCATTTATCAAAATTCATCGCTCCTGAGAGCTGGAAAAGAGACCCATACTACCAGATTATATTTAATCTAGATTTTCTCTTCTCATGCTCTTAATTTTTGTTTATTATCCAATACTTTGTTTTATTATATACTAAATATAACCTTATCCTTTTCAGGACGTAGTTAGAAACGATTCAGGACTTGTGGTGATTTGTTCCGGAGTGAACCAAGCTGGATCAGACACGTGGAGGGCCAGGTTGGGGGTAACATCAGGTGAAGAGAATCCACCTCCTGTGATCATTTATGGACCGGCAAATCAAACGTTGCCGCTCAAGTCAGTTGCCGTTCTAACTTGCAGAGCTTCCGGGAACCCAGAACCTACCATTGCATGGTACAAAGATGGAAATGTTATTCTACCAGCCTCAAGAATCAATATTACTCAAGCAGGCTCACTCAATATCAATGGTATTGTCTGTGATTTATATTGTTGTAGTGAAAAATAATCTATTAATAATCAGAATTCAATGAATAATAAAAATTTTTCATGAACTTTTTTTAACATATTCATATTTTAATCGAAATTTCAATTACAGATTTACAAAAATCAGATAGCGGTCAATATACTTGTGTGGCTTCTTCAAAAAGTGGAAAAGCAACATGGAGTGCATATCTTCGCCTCGAGTCTCCGACGAACCCAAACATCGCTTTTTTCCGTTCTCCTGAACCCTCAACATTTCCTGGTCCTCCTTCGAGGCCAGTAATTGTTGGCAGAACTCACAATAGTATTACAATTTCCTGGACAAGAAATAATAAGATTGGTTCTTCTTCCCTCATTGGTTTTCAGGTATTTCATTTATTTTTTTTTTTTTAAATTGAATAAGCTTGAAAGTTATAAAAATTTATTAAAATAACAAGGAAATGTAAATCCCACTGAAGAATAACTGACAAAAGTCACCTATAAATAAATAACCTATAAAGAATAACTAGCCTTTAAAATTAAAATTTGAGATTAATTATCTTAAACCTATCTTATTAATGATAAAAAAAGAAATTCTGTAATATCCTTTAAATTATTCAAATGTGGATGGTCCTTAACCATATTTTACAGATATACAAAGTTATTTTGATGTTGAATCTGCTCCTAAGATATTGTTTGAGAGTTAATATTTCAAATAAAAGAACTATGATACAACTTAAATTAAAAATAAATCATAAGTTGTTGTAAATTTCAATGATTTTTTCTTTTTCAGATTGAAATGTTCAGTCAAGGATCTGATGGGAGCAGCCCCAGTGGTGGATGGGTCGTTGTAGCCCGACGTGCCCCAGGACCGACTTACACTCAACATCACTTAAGCCCTCACGTTTCCTACACCTTCATCGTCAGGTCTGAAAACTCACACGGAATGTCGGCTCCTAGTCAACCATCAGAAGCAGCTGTACCGAGTTTGGGTGCTGAGGAAGAAACAGACCAAATCATGAAGGAAGCAAGAAATGCTTTAAACGGAGGACATGTAGTTCGCTTGACCCATATTCAACCTTTGTCATCCACCTCCATCAAGATTGTTTGGGAGGTATGCTATCAGATAATTAATTCAGTAATAAAATCAATCTGAGCCCCAGTAATAGAGTGCCACGATATGAAAATTTCTTTTTCTTATTTTTCGCTTGGAAATCTTCTATTCACTTATATTTCTTTAACTAAATATTTCAGATCTTTTATTTCAATATTTACCGACATGTAATCATTTATTTTAGTTTTTATGACTGCTACGATTTCATCACACTTTTCATATTAAATTGATCAAAAAATGAAGATTAACTTTCTTTTTTAAACAAAAAAGGTGAACATCATTGATTAAGGAAATGTCCAATATGATGTTTAAATCAGTTATAAACCTGAATATGCTAACTAGTGAAAAATAGATTTAGAGAACTTAAATGTAACCCTAAAAAAATTTAATAAAACATCGTTAATTTTTATTAAAAGATCAATTGCAATATTTTATATAAGTCTTTTTTATTTGTATTACAGATTATGAATTCCGAATTTGTGGAAGGATTTTATATCTACTCTCGAGGTTTGGATGCGCCAGCTCGAAGTACAAATATGTTGACAGTTCTGCATGCTGGAGAAGCTTCTGGCTTTCTCGTAACAGGCCTTGCAAAGTTCACGCGATATCAATTCTTCCTTGTTCCTTTTTATAAAACTCTAGATGGAAGGCCTTCCAATTCAAGAACTGCAAGGACTCTTGAAGATGGTAGAATATTGTTGTTTTTTTTTTTTATTAATGTAATGTTTGAATTTTTATTTTAAATGTTTTCAATTTGTAATTTTGTAGTGCCCTCAGAATCACCAACAGGATTAGAAGCTGTTCTCTTCAATACAAGCTCTGTATATTTAAAATGGAAACCACCACCTCAGGCAGCTCATAATGGAATACTTCGGACATATCAGGTGAGATTATTAATTCAATTTTACTTTCAATAATAATTAATTAACCATATACAATTATTTTATTACCCTAGCTTAAATTTTATGTACTTAAAATTTGATTAAAACTATTATTTACAGGTTGTTGTTAAATCGGGAAGTGGATCGAATGTAACGTTACTGAATAACGTAACAGTTAATGCAGGAACACCATCTCTGTTGCTTACTAATCTCAGTTCCGGAATTGTTTACACGGTAGAGGTTGCAGCCGCAACCAGGGCTGGTCTTGGTCCTTATACTAGCCCAGCAAATTTAAGATTAGACCCTGCTTCAAGACAAGTTTACAGGGACAATCAACACAGGTACTATTACTTAGACAAGTTCCTAAACTCAGTTCTAATCCCATCGATGGAATTTATCAATCACTTAAATATATAACCGATGGACAGCAATTTATACTGAGTTTATAAACAACATGCTTTCTTCCAGCAAGAGGTTAACACTTTTGAAAGTTTACAAAGTACATGAAAAATATGTAAAGAAATATCTACCTACTCAATTGTTGAATTTCAAAGCATAAATGAATATAGTTAGAAATGAAACTGAATATTTAAGTAAATTGAGAAATAACAACACTAAGGTTTAATCCAATGAACCTAAAAGCCAGTGGTACTGCTGAGAAATCGGTGATTCACTTGTTGCATAAAGGAATGTGCTGAATTCCTTCGATGGCTTTAGAAACTGATGTATTTCCGATGCCCTCAATGAGCTCAGAACTGAGTTTAGAAACTTACTTACTTAGAACTTGTTTCTTTTTAAATATTTGCCGGTATATATTAGTCATATTGGTCTTAATTTGTGTACTTTTTTCATTGTTAATAAAAATATATGTTTATTTATATAACCACTATCAATATACTTTTTTTGTTCTGCATTAATTGAACACTTTAAAGAAGTATTCATAGTTATTTAGTAATACTTAATTTTTTTAGACAACCAATCGGTCAACAACCCGGTATTGGTCCAGGACCTAGCGACTTTTTAACTGAGACTTGGTTCATGGCTCTGCTCGGCAGTATGGTTGCAGTTATGTTCTTACTTTTTGGCGCAATGCTCCTTGTAAGAAGAAGACAGCTTCTCTCAAAGAAAACAACTCTGCCAGGTACGATCAAAGAAAGGATTTCAACAAAAAAAAAATTTATAACATGGATCTTTCTTTATGTTGTCTTTAATGCTTCAACCATTAAGCAAAGAAGATTGATTTAAAAGATAATTTTATATTAATTGATAATTTCGAGTCAGAACTGGAGACTTGTTTTTACAACACTACCTTTTATTATATTGTACTCTCCATATGATTGATTGATTTTTTTTATACATCAAATATATTAATATTTTAAAAAGTCAATTTCTGAATGTAAGAATTATAATTAAAAAGAATGAAAAGGGAAAAACAATTTATTAATGTTATTGAATTATTGAAGGAAGTTAGTCAACTGTTCTACATATCATGTAGAATATCATAGTACTGAAGGTATTCAAGTACTCCCACAAACACTGAAAGTATTGAGTACTTGAATACCTTCAGTGCTTGATCCATGCCTTAATGCTGACCCACATGTTTGGGTTGAAACGTCGACACTAATTAAAACTTTATAATGACTGCGTCCTCAATATTTATCACCCATATTAATGTTATTCTTCATGTTTTCTCTTGGTGACATTTGTGTGATTACCAATGTTTATTTTGATGATATTTTAAAGATATCCCAATGCAAATCCAATAATAATTTAAAATTAGGATTAAACATTATTAAGTAGACTTAGATAACTCTCTAAAAACGTTTAAATTATTTTTAACTTCCTTTCTACTGGTCAGATCAAGGATTTCTATAAGAAATATTAATTAAAACTATCTAAAGACTACACAGATCATTTAAAAAAAAAAAAATGTATAAATTAGTCCAGTTTTTGCAGTTAGAGCTCCCAACAAACGAAAAACAGTGTAGATTGAACTTATTAATGAAAAATATCCTTATGTATTTTCAATAAAAAGTGTTATTATATCTGCAGATTGTGACTTGTCTTATAATGTATGTTAAAATATAACAACTACATTTCAGATTCTCGTAGCAATGGAGGAATACTCGCAACACCTTTAAGCCTAAAAGCAGCTGTAGGCTTACCACATCCCACTGCGATGGTTCCACATCCACATGACTCTACTCTATGGATTGAACCGAACAGAGCTGCTTCATGGCGTCATTCTGAGCTGAGCGACAAGGAACCACAGATTTTGGAACCTGCTGATTATGCTGAAGTCGACCCAGTTCACAGCGTTTCTACCTTCCAAGGCAAAAGAGAGGATACATCACCAGCACCTTATGCCACTACGACACTCATTCCGAAATACCCTCACGCTAGAACTCCAAATAGTAGACAGGTATGAATTGATTATGAGATATTCTTGACAATTATTAATTAATCAAATATATTGGGGTTCCAAAAATATGAATCTATGGTTTAAATTAAATCAAGCATTGCAATGACTAACAAATATATTTCTACAGGGCTGGGTTCAGATCTGCCCACAAAATGAAAAGGAGGAGGATTGCCTTTATCCGAGCCATAACGGATTCTACAACAGCAACATATATTCAGACACTTATGTTTTTGAAAAGAATAATGATTATGTTCAGGAAAAAGGTATGCTTTCAAAAAGGAAAAAAATCTAATAATATGATCCAACCAATTGTTATTAATAATATAAAATTTAATAACTAAAATTATTTCTAGGTGGTAGCATCGGAAAACAATCCCCTTTGATAATTAGCCAATGTGGAAGAATTTCTGTTTCGAAATTAGGATGCTGTGAACAAGATCAATTCAATATTGATAATTTAAGCAATTCGCTTGGCAATCATACCAATACATTAAGGCATCAGCATAAAAATTTTCAGCTTTCCAGGCCACAGGTAATTTATAAAGCTATATAATATATTAGTATAATAAAAATGTGTGTGTGTGTCTGTAATTGTTGTCATGACAACCTCAAACCCATGAAAACCAGATCACTACGCTACCTTAATAGATATGCTATAATTGTGTGAAAATGTGCATGATTGTGTATAAACTATTTAATTTTCTATTTTGGAATAATAAATATATTACTTATTTTTATAAACTATGATGTATAAAATGGATTATGTCATTTTCATGCACATTCAGTACAAAGATCATATTAAATTTCACATCTTGTTTTCATTTTCTATTTATTATTAAACAACATCGGTTGTAATTTGTAGACTTTCTTCTCTTTGATTTCAACCGGCTTAATTGTATAGTACCTTTTGTAGTCCTAATAAATATTTATTTTCTATGTTTTATGTTTTCAGTAGGTAATCCTGAAATTAATCTATTATTTAAATAAATTACAATTTTATTTATTTATTTGTTTTCTGCCTTAGATTGTTAAACAGAACGGTGGAAGAATCGTGAGTAACAAAGCAGAAATAGTTACCAGGCCGTGGAGGACTCAGGCGAATCCTGTCCACACGCTGTCCACGTTCACACCTCCGCCTCCTGCCTACAACCAATACCAGCCTTTGTACCACAACTCGTCTCGCAGCGAACCGTCTACCAATTCATGATCTAGTCTCCTCTCCGGTCGCTTACACAAGACTGATTATATTTATAATGAAATAATTTAGGTTGTTAATTAATTGATATTAGGAAATAAAGAAAAAAAAGAGGTTAAGCCTGCATCGTCTGCTAGTGACTCATATCAATAAAATATTGTAATAAAAAAAAAAGAATCATCACATTGTAGAATTGAAGCAACTTGCCCCCTCACTCTTACAATATTACAATAATTTCTTGTTAATCTTTCATTGTTTTCGTCTGACACAGTAGGCTACTTCTTACCTGTCTTCGTTAGGACACGGAATTAGTCAATATACTTTAAAATATGCTTGCTGTCTGTATTGTTATTATTTTATTTATTTATTTATTTGTCTTTGAAACAACAGTACTATGAAAAAACAGTCCAGAATAATAAAGATCTTTGTGAATGGCTATATGCATTTTTATGCTTTTAAGTTTTTTTCTTGAACTAGCAGATAAGCTGTAGAGTCTAATGAGAAGAAAGCTTATAAGACGGAGTCTACTGAATATAATTGTGTATATGTTAAAGGCCAATTGTAACAATCATGTAATGAAGTAAACATATATAATCATGCCATGAGCTTAGATGAAATGCCCACCAGGAGCGCTGTCTACTCTACAATGGACACAAACTTGTATTAAAACTTTATTTGATATTATTTTTGTTTTATTATAAAATTTTAAAATGTTATATTTTATCCTGATAGTAATTTATCATTCATTATCTGACAATTTATAAATGATTGATACAATTTTAATGTATATTATTAAAATTATTGAATTTTTTCATAAATAATTTTAACCGTTTTTAACATTCTATCCCTTTTTATTCTGCATTTTTTATATTATCTGGTTATTATGGAAAAATGAATTGAAGAGGCATCACATTTTACTACCAACTAATTATTGGTTTCTAACTTTTTCAGACAAACCAACTACTTCATCCAGAAACACAACTATGTGTAATTTAGTTTGATATTTTTTAAAATTTTAATAAAACAAAACTATCTAACTTATTATTAATACTTCATATGAAGTAATTTTTTTAATAGAATGAAGGATTAAAATACTGCTAATATAAATCATTCAAGTAATAACCTCTTGTCCTCTTAGTGTCGTCACAATTTTCTATATGGTATTAACTGGAGTATATAAAAAGAATAACCTGTAATGAATTAATTAAAACACATTACTACAAATTAATCTATAAGTCATATGACTGGCATTAAATTTAGTCGACTAATTTATTATAACTTTTAATAAAACTTTCTTCCAGTGATCTTGGCAAAAGAAACTTCCATGACATAAATCCACTTTGTTGATCGAGTTGATGTTTTGGAAAAATCTTTCCTATCATTAGAACAGTCTTTTTTCCCAAAATATCAACTTCGTATTAATAGGTAACAAATAAAGTGCATTTATGTCACTACAGAATTTTTTGCCAAGATCACTAGATTAAACCTTAAACTTCCCAAAAAAGAAATGTATTCATGGTTATTTACGCGTACTAACAATCATTCAGTTTTTAGCGATATTCATTAAAACAGTTGTTTTTTCATTAAATTTAAGTGTATTCATAAATTATTATATTGAAAGACTTGTGATATATGATACATTTTTTAAAAATATATCTATATATGTTAACTATACACTATAGTGAAATAACTTTCTATTTTTTATGTCTGTGACCTTTTTTTACTTAATTTTTTTTTTTAATAATAAGAACTTATTTCTTGTGCTAGGTTAAGTGTTGAAACTAGTTAACTCTTTGAAAAAATTGTTTAGATTTTTTTTTTTTACCAGTGGCTCCTGTATAGAACTCTGGTATGATTATTATAATAAATAGTAAACTTTATTATATGTAATAGTAACTATGATTGGCCTTTGACATATATCGTTCTGAATGTCAGATGCTCTTGTAAATATTTAAATATGAAAATAAAGTCTATAATGCGATTGCTCATCGTTGCTGATATGCCGTTAGATTAATATACCAGTTACACTTCTAATACATTTAGAACACATATCCTTACCATTGACAGTGTTCAAATATTTTCTTTTAGTTTTTTAAATAATTTTCTTTTTATGTAAATAAAGTAGTTAGTTGGCCTATATTAGTAGTAATATTTAGCTATTTAAATAAATAAATAGCTCTTTATATAATGAAAAAATATGTATATTGAGGGTAAAACCTTATTAATGTGCCATAAATATTTTCTTGCATTAATTGTTGTCGAACGAAATATGTAAAAAATAAAAGTTATAATAAACTTTAAAAAAAAATAAAATTCTCAAAAAAGTGTAAACTATGCAATAAAAAATGTAGTGTTTGTTGTTAATATATATTTTATTGTATTTTTTTCTATTTGGCGAGCAAAATTTGTTTCTAGTGTGATCATTAGTTTTTAAGGAAGATGTACATTTTGGTAAAAATTTTATAAATATTCTCTTGTACTTTAATATGAAGACCGTGTATTATTATAAAAAATAAATATGGCAAATATTAGTCAGTTAATAAAATTGTTTATATGAACATAAAACATTGTGAAATAATGTACATATCATAAGTGTTATATGTATAACTTTAAAGAAATGAGAAAATTCAATAAGTCCTGATGTTTTAGGATTCTTACTAACGGCTATAGATATACAAATATGTGTTTTAAAAAAATTAAAAGTCTGTTAATGTTAAATGTGTCTTTTGTACAAATCTTCCATAAACTACTTTTCAGTGTTGGGTATCCTGATTCAAATAAGACATTTTCTAGGCATTGATTTCATTGAATCAAAATTATTTATATTATTATATATATTGAAGCCTATGTTACCTTAAATGTTCGACCATAGTATATTTTTAACTCCCCGGATCATAATGAGAAAGATAATAACCATTTTAATATGATATGAATAACAAAATATTTTAATTTATTTATTTTTAATAGAAATTTTAAACATAAGCAGTTCATAAATTATTCTATACTGTTAACTATTCAGAATTAGGAGTTGATTTAGGCATTATTTGATTCTAATATTGACTTTTTGTATTAGTAATAGGAATAATTCCATATAAATTAAATTTTTGTTTGATTTTTCACAAATAAATGAACAAAATAATTTTCAAATGAACATTTTTATTTTCACCAATAATAATTGTTATTAGTCAAAATATATTTTTCTTTTAATAATAAAGGTAATTTTGATTTTTTATTGCATTGTTAAATTAATTTGTAGATTTTTTTTAATTCTTAAATTCAATTTTATAATATTTAACTGGAATAAAAACAAAGAAGAAAATTAATATATTTTTAATCAGTTTTTGTGTTAATAGTTTATTTATCTTATTGAATATATTTATAATTTATTTAATTGTTATTTTTAAATATAGGTCTTGATTAATTATTTGTTTACTCAAATTTCAAATGATAGTTGATAATAAAAATGATCATCGTTCAAATAATCTCATAATCATTTTATTTCATGACATCCAGGAGTTTTCAGTGTGTAGCACCATAATAATTCATTTATTTATAAATTATATAAAAATGTTTTCAATTATTAGCTGATTGTCATTATAATTTTGGCTATTGGGTGGTAGAGGAATTTATCAGTTAATTTCATTAATTAATTGAAATTAACATGAAAAGTTCAGTAAATATAAAAAATATTTTTATATAATTTAGTTGATATTTAAATAAACGAATGTGGTGTTACGCACTCAAAGCTCTAGGATATTATTAAATAAAATGTTTAAATAGTAATATTTTTTTTTTATTAATAATTTAAAAAGAAATATCTTGTGACATAATAATGCTTGATTTCAACCCCTTGCTCAGAACAGTGTAGGACTTAATTAGAAATTAAAATTAAAAAAAAAAATATTTATTTTAAGAAAAAAAATTGCCCAACACTGTTGTATTCTACAAAACAACTGTAACAATTCTATTTAATAAATAAAACAAATTGAATATACATTATCCGTTCAAATCTATATGAATGGTATAGTCTCACGTTCCCTCCTATAAATGTTGTGAGATTCCTACCTAGTAGTACGTACTCCCTTCCAATAAATTATTAATCTGTTTTCTGCTGAAAATCAACATTTTTCTATTTTTCTAAAAAGTTATGTATTTATGTAAATAATATTACTAAGTTACCAGCTAAATTCATTTGACATATATGTATGTGAACATTTGTTTAGTAATAAAATAAAACACTGTAAAATAGAAGTATGTTTATTTCTATCCATCAATCATATATATACAATCCTTTATTATAAATTCACAACTTGTATAGATTTTTTTTCTTTAATATTAATAAAAAAATTCTTAAAAAGAATGACTAGAATGCAATTTGGTACGTAAGGTAATATTTACAAAAATTTACAAATTAGTACAATAATCAGTCTCCAAGAAAAAAAAAATTAAAATTATTTATTTACATTTCATTGCCATAATTTCTTGCAGTTGCCATTTCTGTCCATTTTCTGTCCTTCTGGGCATTTGTTACCAATAGAGCGGTATCGTGTGTATCTTCTTCCATGCCTGATCCGATGGAACAGATTGAAGAATCCTTTAATGGGTCCATCTTCTTCCGATTCCATATTCTGTTGTTGACTTGGGAAAACAGACCTTTTCACTAACACATTTCGATGTTTTACAAGTAGAGGTTGTTCGTGCATTAGATCGTTAAGTGATAAGCTCCTTTCTGAACCTTTTACGCCTGTAAAGTCGCACATTACAACGACCAAAACGACACCAACAAAAAGTGGAATAGAATGCATTTTCGCACAGAACAATGTTGCCAAGTTTGATATTGACTGAATATCAGTTTACACTCCTCTTCCTTTTTATATCTTGTCTTATCTTATCAGTACTTCTTCCATAGTTGAAAAACTACGTGATAATATTTTTTTATTTTATATTTTTTCTTTTGTTGTGTATGATTCAGAAAATGTATTACTAGTTTAAAATAATAAAAGTTTTAAATATTGTATTAGAATGTTAAAAAATTTGGTAAAGTTCAAAAATGAATATGATGAAACATTGTGACTGTCGTGGTAAACCTATTAAAAGAAAGTTAAGTTGTGTTCCATAAAAAAAAAATAATTACATCACATAACTGTTGAAATTATTCTTTTTTAAGTTAATAAACCTGAAGATTATTACTTCAGTTATCAAAAATTAATATTAATTTAAATAGAAACAAACTTTAGAGAATTAATATAAATTATTTATAATTCTGTGTACTATATATGTTTGGTTTACTAACTTATAAAAGATAAATAAATAGTTTTTCATTCTATAATATAGAAGTAGACTTCATTAACTACAACATTCAAATCTCATTAGCTTTTTGTCTCACTTCATTATCTTCTACGACCTTATATGTTAGATATTAACTTTTTTTTTATATCCTAAAGTATATCATTCATCTATATTACTACTTTTATTTCCAGACATTTGTTTTCAACCTTTGAAAATATTTTTGCACTTTCTCTTTGGTTAATTATAATTTTTTTTTTTCCTATTTCCTATTTATCTTTTTTAAGTACTACTAAAAATTAGATACCTTTAATTATTTCTAATAAACAAAATTCAAGGTGCTTTAGTGGAAGAAGTTTTGAAAATTCAGAATTTAAACTTTATCAGATTGTTTCAATGAGATTATTATCTAAGTTATATGAAAGACTCCTTCTTCTCATCTCTTTCAGTTATAGGAACATTTCAAATATAACAGTGTCAGTTACATGTTCAACAAAACTATTCTCTAAATTTACAATTGTTTAAAAATCTTGATGTATGTTTTATGGATTTGAAATAGGTATTGAGAAGGTGATAAGTAGTTCTATAAGATGTATCTAAGAAAAATACAATAACATCAATATTTAAGTTTTTACACGTAAAAGTTCAAAGATATTGTCTTAAGCATGTCAGCTACTGGTATATTAATCCTCTACCTAGAAATCTAGAATGAGATACCTTCAGTATCATTGAGTTGGATTGTCAAGCTCTCAGTTCTTTGGATCCATCAATCGATCTACTCCTAATCTTCTTAATGAGGCTATAAGATCACTTAAGACAATAATTTCTATATTTCTCAATTCTTTTATCTTGACATCGACAAAACTGAAGATCAAAGGTATAATGGGTTAAATCACAGGTGGATCTATGAGGGAGGGGGAGGCTTTCGGGCTGAAGCCCTTCCCTGCAAAAAAGTTAAAATATAGCCGTATTTTACAGAAGAAAAAATATTAATAAAGATCTCTTAAAGTATTCTTGTTCGTGTAATTACATTGAATAGGACTTCAACAACCACTTAAACACCATTTCATACAGTTAGTTAATTTCTTGCTTTTTTAAAAAAATTAAGTATCGTTATATATATATATATATATATATATATATATATATATATATATATATATATATATATATATATATATATGAAAAAAAAAGGTTTCCGGCTGAAGTTCCTCCTCCCTCCCAAAAAAAAAATTCTAGATCCGATAGTGGGTTCAATCGTTCAACTAAGAATCAACTGGATTCATTCTAAAATTCTAAATAGTTAACTAAATATATTTAAATGTTTAAGGAAGTTTGGAAAGTTCTGTTTTTCTAATTTCTGATGTTGGTCATGAGGAAGGTTGAGATGTGACGCATGTGTGGCCGATCTCAATGAGAAAGAATCATACCATAATCGAAAGCAGAAGCAAAATATCCTGCTTACATAACTTAACTTCCCAAACGTATAATTTTTCTTAAAATAAACAAATTTTTGTTTCCTCCTCTTTTCATTACAAATTTATTTGTATTGCTTACACTTCTTGTGAACTCGCAAAAATATTTCTAGGAAAAAAATCAAACTAGAGGTTCGAAACATCTCTTGAGCCTCAGAGTCTGGGGTAAATTGTTCTTATTTTAATATAACCCCGTAATGAGAGAGGAGTGCGCCTGGTAAATTTTCGACTCGGGCGCTTGAAACCCATGCCTCACGGCACTGTTCAATAAAATCTCTTACAAGATTTGGACTTGGAGGAGCTTGAAAGATCTCAGTGGAAAAATCGGATTCGAAATTTTTCTCGACTGCAGTACTTTTGCTTACAGTAATATTTCATGTAGAAGTAAATGTGCCTCTCTCAAAAATTCAAAACCATGTCAAAATGTACCTCCGTCAAAATTTTTGATTATTTATTATTAGAAAAATTAGTTGACATCGTGCAACGTTTTCTCACATGGATTCTAAACCATATGCATTAAGCATTTTCTGTTGGTGAGCCAATGAAGAAAGTTGAACTGGCAAATTATTACTACATATTAAAACTCGGATTTTCTATTTTAGTTGTCCAAAACTAACAATGTTCAATTTACCAAAAACAATTTTTTTTTTTAGTTTTTTTTTGTTTTTGTTTTGTTCTGTTTTTTATATTATTATTTATTGAACACGTCCACTGTACTTTATGAATTTTTTATGTATTAGGTTAGAAAGAGAGAGGAGAGAATGTGAGTGGGAACATGTATAGGGGGAGAGAAGGAAGAGAAAGGGTACAGAATGATAATAAATGAATGAAAGAAATAGTAAAAATTATAAAATAAAAAAAAAAAAAAAAAAAAAAAAAAAAAAAAAAAAGGAAAAAAAAATAATATATATATATATACGTATAAAATATTGTATACTATGCTCATACATATTGTTAATCCTATAATTGTATAATAATTTTAAATAATGTCTGTAGTGATTAATAGGTATGCTGTGTTGTTAGCAACCCAATGTAATTGGGCAGCACCATTTTATTTTATTTTATGATAATAAAGTGATTCTCTCTCTCCTGTGCAGGAGTAAAGCTCAACACATAACAAGCTGTGAAAATTACGTGACCCTCCCCGAAAAAAAAGAGAAAAAACAAGTTTTAAGAAAAAACAAATGTAGTTTTAGAGTGCAACTTAAAAGCCATAAAAGTAATTATTTTGCTTTTAAATTAGTTCTGTTATTTTATAAAGGTTTTTAAAAATCTTTTTGGTGACTTTAAAAAATCATTAAGCAATAAAATGAAGAGGTTGTTAAAATTAGTAGAAGAATATTGTGCAATTTTAATTAAGGTTAATTTTATTAACCCTATACAAGTTTAAAAATCAAAGAAATATTTTTATTACTCATTATTATTCAATTATTTATTTTATATATATTAGAAAATAATAAATTTTTAAACTTTTAATATTATAAATAGTGTAAAGATGTCGAACCTGAGACAACTGAAGGTTCCTAAGCTCAGGTGTTATCAATTACATACACCGTATTTGATTTGGATATCAAAATGTGAAATAACGTAGTTTTTGTGTTAATACTAAACTAAAATTTCTGTTAATAATGAAAAGGCATAAAAAGATAATTACCATTACTCAAGAAGACGACACATTATCAAGACTTCGCGAATATGGGGCAGTTAATATCTCGGTGAGTCATTCTTGTGTATACATTTTGATCATACTTATGAATTGCCAATTAATAGTACTTTGCTAAAGTTTTAACAATTATTGCTGTTACATGATTAATAATTGACATATATTGTGAAATATTATTAATTCAGGAAGTGAGAGAAATTATTGAAAGTTTGTTGGACTGAATTAGGTTTTTTTTTAAATTAAATTACTCTGCTGATAGAAAATGAAAACTCCTTGTATATCATACTGAATTAGTACAATTTACTGCTATAACATTATCTTATTCCTTTCAGAAACATTGAATTGTTATTATTATTACTCAATGATTAATTTATGAGTATTTATAAAAGCAATGCTTCTGCATCAATATTGATTTGAATGGGATGAGTATAGCTTTTTTGTTCTGTTGCTATTACAGACCTGGTTGATCAACCACAGCCTTAACCTTTATCATTTCTGCTTATCTTGGGCCATTTATTTCCAGTTATCTGCTTGCAGCTCTGTTATATATTTGTTGATTCTAGCTATCCATCTGCTTTTTGACCTACACATAGTCTCTTGCCAACTATTGAGGCATTCATTGTTATGTAGAGGCTTCCTGACGGATTTCTCTGAGCTACATGGCCTGCCTATCTTAACCACCTTGCCTTCATATTATGAGATCGATCAGTTTCTGTAAAGAGTTCTTTATTGGTTCTTGTCCTCCATTTGTTAATACTATGATCCCAGATCGCTCCGTTTATCCTGTAAAGAAATTTTCTTTTCAAATTTATTAATACTTCTTTCTTGGTTGCTGGTTAGTTTCTAGATCTTGTAGCCATATATTAGTACTGGATTTTTCATAATAGAATATAATAAAGCATATCCTGATATATATGTGTAGTTCGGATGAAGAAATGTTCCAGTATTTTTTAATTTAAATATACTTCTACATTTATAATTTATTTTTGTGCTATGACTTAGCTTTTCATTTTTATCTACAACTTTTTATTTGTAATTTTACTTCTGGTATTTAATCTGATAACTGTAGCTCTGACTCATATTACTTTGATTGTTAATCAAAGGCTGTTTCTACTCTTCCACTTTTCCACTCTATTTATGTTTCTTCCTCTTTCACCATCAATTTATGGCCTCACAGAAATGTACGGAGCCTTTGATTTTAAGAGGTACAGAACTTGACTTTATGTATTAATAATCGAGGACAAGTTCCTAAACACCATGCTGAGATCTCTGATTAGCATTGGAAATCCATCAACCTGTTTCTAAAGTCATCAATATAACAGTGAGCCAGTTCCTAAACTCAGCGTTGAGATTGTTGATGAGCATCGGAAATCCATCAATGGATTAGAGCTGAATTTAGGAACTTGT